GTGTGAGAGTAAAACTTGCAAGTTACACTACAGTCTTTACTCCTTTGAAGACTGTCACACTCCATTTCTCAAGGACTAGAAGCAGAAACGCTTCATTTTAAAATTAATTTATTGTATCACTGTACTAGAATCATTTTGCATTATATCTTCAGGGTAGCAGTGGCCTTTACATAGAAATGCTAGGAGGTGAGAAAGTTCCCTGGCAAAAGGCCATCCTATGCTCATCTCACTGACTGAATGAAGAGAGCAAGATAGAACCTGGCTTTTTCTTGTTCACTTGATTGCAAGCAAATACTGTTGATTGCAAGCAAATACTGACCAAGGAACTTAGAAATTTGTTACATGGGATGTTGTCTATTATGTTTATTACGTAAAATGTGATGAGTTTGAACTAAACTTTGGCAGAAGCCCCAGGAAGAATCAGTTGTTCATTGAACAGCTGCTGCCTCTGATGCAGGCTGTGCCTCTCAGGGCAGAGAAGCAGGTCGCAGTTGATGAACCAAAGGACAAGAAATGTTGATCCCTTGTAACCAAAGATGGAAAAAATATAAATAGGGTAGCTGAGATATAACCACTCTCTGTTCTAAAAGTGGTATTAGTGAGGAGGAATGTTTGTTTGTACAAGAGCTTTGTCCTTTGTCCCACCTACCTGTGATGTATCATGGTATGTATGGTGTGTATCTGTTGGATGTCATTAGCCTTTGACTTAACTTTTATTTGTATATTATTTGCACTACTTAAAATTCATCATGTGCAATCTCTTGACCAAGCTTGAAAAGCTTATTTAGTCTGTTCTAAAATCCTCCCCAGTGCAGTGACATTTTGCACATATTCCTGGCAATAGAATTAGCACTGCCCTCTTTAGCAAAGGCAACTGTTTGCTGCATGGAATGACTAACAGTCCTGCTTGGCTTTTCAATTTGGGGCACTTTGGAAATGTTTGTTTTTTATAATGTGAACCTATATAAAATTCTTCATTGAATTCTGAAATAAAACCTTACTCTCAGACCTAGCTGCTTATTTTACCGGGTTTAATCTGCTTTTCAATAAAGAAAGCTACATCCTCGGTTTATAATTGCATTTTTAATCTCAGGACAGAGCATTCTCAAAAACACTAAATTTGGACTATGTATGAATTGTGGGCAATTCTCAATCAAAAAGGACATTTACTTAGGTTTTCTACATAAGTTTGTGTGCGCTCCTTTGTTCACATCTGCAAAAAACAGGGCAGAATTAGGGGGAAGACTGATGTTTTTCTTGGTGAAACTGTATTTTTAAAAGTAAATTATTATACTAGAAAAAATAAGACATTTACTATAAACCTTTTTATAGGTAATGTAAATTTGTAGCCATTCAGAGAAGATAGCTTAAACCTCTTGTCCATTTGAACTCTGCTCCAGTGTGTTAGATTTCCAGTTTGCACAATATGGTTTGTTATTGTGCTGCCTTACATACACATTACAAAGTTTTATACTACACAATGTACCAATGGTCATTTCTCTAAAAGACTGGCATTAGGAATATAACATCCAGTTTTAACTTTTCTCAGGGAAAATAACTTTTTTTTTTTAAACTTTGAACAGTGGAGGAAAATTGCTTTTAATTTTTAAAAATTAATTAACTTTTAGTTTTCAACATTCACTTCTATAAGATTTTGAGTTTAAAAATTTTTCCCCTTCCTCTCCTCCCCCCTCCCCAAGTCAGTGTGCAATTTGATATGGGCTCTACTTACACATTCATGAGCATATTTTCNGTTTAAAAATTTTTCCCCTTCCTCTCCTCCCCCCTCCCCAAGTCAGTGTGCAATTTGATATAGGCTCTACTTACACATTCATGAGCATATTTTCCCCATTAGTCATGATGTAAAGAAGAAA